GTTTTAGGTCGCCAAAGGAAGTTCGACTCTACCAGGATCGTGCACCAATGTCCCAGAGGCTTTAATGTCTGCCGGCTGATTATAATCTCGTCAACGAGTTATGCCATTAGAAGCAGGCTTCGCCGTAATGCCACCGCCCGCCCACACCGTCGTACCAGCCTTATCCGTTTCCATACTGGCGGAATCTCTGCCTTGCCAGATAACGTTGTTCTTCCAAGCTTCTTCGTCGTTAGCCAATTAGGTGATTAAAGCACGATTCCTTTTACTAAGCGCGCGAATGTGCGTTCGAAAGAATTATGAGATTTCTCAATAAACGGGTTACATCTTCTGATTATTCTTCCTACTTTCTATCTAGGAACAGTCATCTTTTTTGTTAAATCATAACAAATTTTCAAATTAAAAATTGTATTTTATAGAATTAATCAAAGACTCAATTGTAAGTTCTCTGTTACACCTATTGTAAATCGGGATGATTCGAAATAACTCTCGTTTTATTGTTGAATAGTTTCTAAGGAAAATCGTAAGTACGGTTGGCGATAGCGTCGACCATTGTCACGGTTCGTCGATTCCACCCTAAGAAGATTAGTCGACGCAGTATTATAGTTTGGCACTTCCAAACGCGGCGATTCCGCGCGAGTACGAAACGCGAGACGCTCGCGTAATTATAGAGACGCCGCGTGTTACAACGATTCCCAAGGACGCGTCGCAAAAGAAGATTAATGACGAACGAGGAACGCTCGGTCTTAATTTAATCGCGAAAGGACGAGAATCTTAAACGCGACCTCGTCCCTTCTCATTTTCCTTCTTTTTGTCCTGCGGAACTTCGAGACGATAACACCGGAAGTCGAGAGAAAGAGACGCGTTCGCGAAGAAGAAGAAAAACCGTGGCTAACTCAAAGGAAAAAGCTAAAGAGCCAGAAGGGTGAACGAAAGAACGCTCATTTCGGTTAATGACGCCACTTTCGAGATGTCCCGAAGGAACAGAACCCTTGGTTTATGTAATTTCTTTTTTTTTTTTCTTAACTTTGATAATTAGAATTGGTCATTTCAGAAACGGCTTCTCGTGACCAAGAATTCTTCGTTTCGAAACTTGAAAACACATTTGGTACACTGCCCTCCATAATTAAAACGTTGTATCTCATTAATTTCCTCACTTTTGCAAAAATAAAATTTTTGGTTTATCATTTTCGATCACGAAAAAAACTGAAGTTCTAATTCTTCTTATGAAGTTTCTCCTCGTAACTGCTATGCGATATGAACGATCGATTATTTTAACACTATTCGAGTGCTAAGTTCTTTGAACGTGATTGCAAATTCGAGCCTTTAACCTGGCTCGAATGTATTGCGGAAACGTCGAAGTTGTCATCGGCATGCGTTGAAGGAACGTTCGCGCGGAATCGGCCGCGTTGCGCTTTTTCTCTCCGTTTTTGCCGCCGGACATGTCTGACAGCTGTCTCGCCGTCGTGCTCCCGTCATTTTAGCAAACTTCCCTCCAAGTTAGAAGCAAGAACTCGGACACCATAAGCTGGTGAACGTCGTACTCCTTGAAAGCTATTCGTTCTCCAAGCGTTTAACGTAAATTACTTTGCTAATTGCTGTTTGCGAAAGGTTCGTATGTTTGTGCTATGTGTTAACGTAGAATTCTCTGTATCTACTTCCCTCTACTTAGAAAATTTAAATTTTGACCATTTATCAAATTAACTAGAAATTCCTAAAAATTTTTCATTCTCTTTTTCTTCATATTTATTTATTTATTTGAAACTTGTTCAAGCATTCGATCAAAATTGTAATAATTAAACAACTTTCATTAATCTCAAAGGACTAGCCAATTATTATTTCTAATTTTTTCGTACCTGCACGAATCAAACGAATTTCTCAAGATTTAAAATCTCAAAAATTTTCCAACCAGAGCTTCAATTATCGAATTACACTAAAGGGAAAAATTCGTTCAGTCGAAGCATACTAAACCCGATAGAAAATATCGTTTCACTCAGCTGATAAGGAATGGGTGTGAGATATTTCATTTGTAAAAGTGGCCAGCGAATTTCAGCGGGTCCCCGTTGTTATTTCGACGCGAGCATAACCCGGACACGTTCGCGGTGGCAGCCGGGGGCCAAATGGTTCGTGAGTTAAATTAAAAGCAGGAATCGCTGGGAGCCAGTTTCCTTCTTTGATCCATCGACCATCGTGCCGTGGTCGTTATTGGCCCATTCCACGCCAAAATTCATCACTTTTTTCACTCGTTGCCACGAATTTTCTTTAAAATGAAATATAATGTAGATCGCGTGGAATTATCTAAGAGCGAGGGAATTTCACCCAAAAGTCATCGTTTTTGCCCACTTGTTTGAAAATATACTTCTATTAACGCGGCATCGTATTGAAGCCCTAATACTGTCATTTAGATTTGCCGAAAAACTTTACTGACCCACTCTTAGACAACGACACTTCTCTCGCAATAATCAAATTTGGTTGGTTCGTTTTGTGATTATCTATAAAGAAGTGTCATTGCACGATGGAAACCACGGGAAGGTGGTGGGCTTCTTCCATCGGGACGGTCTAGGAATAGGACAGAATATATCTGATTTTAAACGAAATCCGAGTCATCAAATGATAAAAGTGATCGATTTTACGTGGAATGGTGCTGTTACGAAAATTTGCTCGCGCTTCTGGAAGAAAGGCAAGCAAAATCGAACCCCGAGATATACGCTTCTCCTTCGATGTGGATGGTCTGGCGCACGCGTGCGAACTCGCATGCCCCACGTTCCGCGATGACGTTCTGATTTTGATTGATTTTCGCGCTGGCACAGCTGAGCGAAAGCACCGCACGCATCGGCGAACTGTGCTACGAGAAATTGCACCGGCACGCTCATACACGGCTAGAGGAATTGTCCGCGACAGAGATTGAACGTGGCTGTCCTCTTTCTTCGACTTTTTCACAAGAAAAATACCAGCATTTGCGGAATATATCCTGGGTAACCACGAGCTTGAAACTACTTGATTTGCATCGGCTATTAACTTTCTTATAAATATCGAAATTGAATTATAAATGAAAATGGATATGAAATTTGTAATTATTGGGACAATAATGTTGATAATGAAAAATTTCTATTGCATATAAAACTGAAGGCAAATTTTCAGGTGACCAATTTCAAACGCGAGCGTGGGAAAAATAGTCAACGAGCATTATCAACACATTGTAAAAATGATGGGTGCCGCTTCTTTGATCCTTTTTGTTTAAAGTAACCAAAGCATCACTTGTCATGGCGGGTCGCGTGCATCCGGTTTCAAAGTAGTGGCCATTGGCGTAGCCCGTTGTTTTCTCAGTGTCCACTTACACGGAACGGTTCCACCGATCGCTTTCAAACGAAATATTAGCAGGATCAGAGCAAACGACCCGTTGCTACACGATACTTCCCCGTTTGCCCGCGAAATTACCGTGTACCTTGTGAAATTTATAACATGCTTGAATACGACAGGCTCGAAATTTCCTCAAACGATACCTCCTCGGCTGGAGATTAGAAGAGAACAACATGGATTGATTTACGACACGTTTTTTAAACAAAAGATTTAAACATCGATAAAATTCAATTACCTATATTTATCTACAAGTGAAATAGAAGTTTCAATAAATGAAAAATGATAAACGAGTAGTTTACGAATACGGACCAAGAATTCTATCGATTATTCCTCGTTGCCGGAACTTAGTTTCGAGCGTGTTTCTCGTGCCAGCTAATTACAGGGCAAGAAGAAATTCTGTCCATTTCGAAGACATTAAATTTCGTGGCGTCCGCATTCTACGAATTGCGTAAGATGAAAAGCATCCAAACCGAGCTGACGCGAACATTAATCACGTGGCATTCGGCTAAGAGTGGACATTTAACTTATTTGACAGACAGAGATCGGTTCCGAAAAAGTACAAATTGCCTCCTCCTTTTCGAAGTCGGTTAAAAATAATAAACTTTTACGAAATGTGGTACATTGATTTATGATTTAAAATAAAAAAAAAGAAAAATACTTGAAACCGCGGTAAAGAAATCTAAATTAAAATAACCATTATTAATAAATTAATAAAAATAGAAGCTACGGAAATTTATATATACGAGAATAAAATGATGAAAAAATGACGAAAGAATGAACAAATTATTAAAAATTATTGTAATAATTAATATAAAAATGTAAAAGTTATAAAAAAATAAATTTCAATAAATATATGAATAATCTAATTATTAAATAAATGAATTATTAAAAATTGTAATATAATAAATTTCATCGTTAGATTATAAAAATTTTGAAAATTTTTACATTAGATATTCATAAAATACGAAAATGAGATGTGTTACTGTAGCATAATGTTCACTATTATTTGTCAGTCGATTTCAGCAAAAAGGTATGATTTTATTAGAGCGTGAAAGTTGAATTGAACTCGAATGTCGGAGGCGTCCCGGGACGTTCTCCCTAGGTGTAGACATTTTTGCACCCGGGTGGTTGTATGAGAACCGTGAATTTTTGTGAGAATGATTTTTGCCCTGTGAACAACATGTCCCCAAGAGAAACATGTTGTACGGAGCTTCACGACGCGAAAGCACCCAAGTCTTACACACAGACAAAAAAGCGCCAAGCGATAAAGTTGCCGTCGCCGTGTCTAACAATAACTGCTCGTTTAAAGCGCAATAAAATCTAGCCAAGCAAACACCAACAATCACGTATCGTTTTTCTTCTTTTTCTTTCCTTTCATTTAGCGCCCGGCACAAGATTCTTTCGTGGTCCGTCACATTAGATTATCCCCGTGTTACGGGGTTCTATGCAAGGGTGGCCATTAAAATTCACGCGACAGTCCAGCTACGTGACAGATAGGTGGTCGCCCAAAGGGAGAAATTTATCATTCGACGCCATTCTGGTGTAAAACGAAAGACTGGCGAGGGAACAGAAGGAAAGTTTGCTTTTCGCGACAGGTCAGCCAAAGAAGGCTATAAAGCCATAAAAGAAGAATACGATCCTACCTTGAGGTGAAGAACGTACAGGATCTCCTCATTTTCCCGTGGGGCACTAATGTTTCGTGGTTTGCTGATTTAACTGCCCCACAAACCACGGACGACAATGATCCAACGATCGGGCTGCTCGTGAACGACGCTCGTTATCGTCGATGGACGAGCACGAGCGTGCAACAACACGGTCCCGCAATTTTTTCGATCGAGCGAACATCTGTTAGGACCGGCAACCACAGTGCACCAGCTGACGGATCCTTCTTTAATTGCAGCGAGATCTGACCCAAGACATCAACGTCTCCCAGCAGATCCGTAGATACGAGGAACTTTTTCACCCGGTGAAATTGCTCAAACGAATACAGATGCACTGGATCATCTGGATCATCTGGATATGTCACAACACGTAACGATTAATTGGAAGGGAATACCTATCACTTAAATGAAAGAAACTGTTTTCCTCGACGATCCTTTGACTAGACACCCACCACAAGACCGATCCTCTTTAGCAATGATCGCATGGAACATTTAGACGAAGAAAGATTTGTCTAGAGCCAATGTCCGGAGCCGGTCGATCCGACCGGCAAGCTTCTTGCGAACCAAACACCATAACGTCGCAGCCTAAAGCTCACCAGCCAACTTGATCAGCTGAGCACTGATTCATCACGACACTGCACACGGCGGCACTTCGCGAGCAGCTAGCAACGGATCGCACGTGAGAGACGTTGAAGGGATACAAGATCGGCTAGTAATCACTTTCACTCGGTGTCGTTCTGGTCGTCCGCGATTCACCAGCCCAGACCATTTCCCTCGAGTCTCGTCCACTTTTCATCTCTTCGCATCCGTTCATCGGCTCGTCGAAAGACACCTGGACACCCGCGAGATCACGATGAAATTTTAATTGAAAACAATAGCTTTATGTTCGTCTCCATCGACGAGAATGCCGAACGCACCACCACTAGAATGATTTAGCCGCAACTAGAAACGCGTGTTGTTCACGTTTGCGATCGTTACCGCGGAGAAAGTATGCGGCGCGACAACAAAGGCTGTGCGACAACAACCTGTTAATCACCTGGTGGCGTCTCGCGTGTACGAGGCACGCGTCGACCAGTAAGAAAAGCACCACGAGACCGACCTTGTGTACACCGATTATGGTTCACGAGGGCACATCACTTGGTCACACGACGACGCACAGGGTCACGGTTAGACAAGACGGCCGCGCCGCTACCGATCTGCTGGGTACTCTTGGCGACAGCAGGAGAAATATCACACCGATGGTTGCGATTATAATGGCATCCAGGGATGGTGGCGATGGTGGTGGTGGTGGTGGTGACGATGGTGGTGGCGGTGGCGGCGGCGGCGGCGGGTATGGTGGCGATGTGGTCGGTTGGTGCAGCTGGCGGCGGCGGATGGATGTGCCAGAGTGCGGGCTTACGACGGAATGAGAGGAAAGCTCGGCTTAGGAGCGCTACAGCGTGGCATCGGCGACTCCGCGATGAGCGAGAGAGTTGCGCGTTATCGACCCATCCGCGACGCTAGATTCAACCACCGGCACCCAATCTCTCTCTCTCTCTCTCTCTCTTTCTCCCTTTGCTTCGAAGCGTAGTACGCGCGTCGCGGCGTACAACCGTGAAGCGGCGCGTACTAGCTCTGCCACTCGCGATCCTTCCGCTTTCGATCGAAATTCTTAGCTGCGAGCGAAGTCAAAGGATGAGTACGAAAGTACAGAGAGAAATGGAAATGGTAACCTGTTTTGGGAACAAAATTGAGGAAGAATGATCGACTTTCCACAATTAGTATGATTTATTAATTGCTAACAAAATGGAAGCGCATCATAGTTTCTCTTTCTCGTGTGAAACGTCAAGAGGTGTGAAAAGAATATTTAAAATGTAATTTGTCACCAATTTCACGACTTTGTAGAATAGCGAAGAGAATTGAAAAGCTCCGTGACGTTTCTTCGTTCGATCGGTTAAACGAAGAAATTTATTTCTTCCCGTTAATCGACCTCTGTCTGGCGTTACTTGCATAATGGATGAAACGAAACGTCCGCGGCGGTATTCCATGAAACCGAGGCTTTTCCGGGCGCTGTTCAATTTGGAAAAATGGCAGGTTGCTCGATTGAAATCACCGTTCACCATTGTTCGAGCATACTTTTGTTCGAGTATAAGCAAATGGGTACGTTATTATCGATTCATTCGTTGTCCCCTTACAGAGATTTTATCCTTTGTAAAAAGAAAAAAAAATATTTCTCTTTTAATAAAAACCATTTCATTACACAAAAAAGAAAATATTCCTTTTACCCAAAAGAATCAATTTTGAACGATGCATGTGTACAGTTCGTTTCTCATCATTTTACGACTGCTAGATCTATGGTTTTATGGTTGAATGCAAAGGTATTGTAAGGGGGATCGTAAAATGTTCACAAAGATGGTTGGTCACCGATGATCGGAAAAGGTCCGATGAAAATGGACGGAAAGAAATGAAGGAGGGGGTACGAAAAGTCTTCCGGCTCGGATCAAAACGAAATCGTCAATCGGAACGTGAATACACGCGCATAGAAATGCCTCTTCAATGGCCTCCTCGAAACGACGGGAAAATGGACGCGGTTGAGTTTGATCCTGTGGTATTCTTGCGGTCCTATCGAGCTTTTTTCGATGCATCGCTAAAAAACACTCGGACGATCGATAAAAAAAAAAGGTAAATGAATAAAATACTATCTATGAAGTGTACACTACTCGGTGCACTTATAAAAAAAGTGAAGTCGCAAAATAATAAATCTCATATCATTTAACTTTCTTCTATTTCTAACCAAACTGTAGATTTAGAATTGAAAAATTTCGTTACGATTAGGGTGAACAAAAGGATAATTTTCGTGCAAAAAGTTAGGCGGAACGATTGCGGCACACTACAGACGGGAAAAGGGACGACACAGGTGCGAACGGACCGGAAACAAGCGACGAAAGCCGGCAACGATATTGACACAAGCTTCAGTTTAATTTCTCCGCCCGGTAAACATTGGTTTTCCAGCCATGCGGAGTTACATACACGTTACTGTGTCTTGTTCGAGCGACGCGAATGTTAAAAGAATCGAGTGCAATGCCACAGGGACGAAGCGTACGTACTCTCTCGGCCGACAAATTTGCTCGTCGCTTTGCCAGCCATTATAATTGTCTCAAACACCAACACCGTCCGCGAATCGATGAAACGTTTCGCGTTTCGATTGTCCCCGTGTTCGTCGAGATTGCAGCCGAGTTTCGTTTCCGAGAAAATTCATTACAATTTTGAAAATCATTTTACGCGAATCGCGACACATGATCGCGTTCCGTGATCTGATTTAAACCAACGAAATTGCGAGTAATAGTACAGCATGCTGCAAATATTTGCGTGCATACCATTTTCAACTATATAGCGAGGATTTGTAGAATTTTCAACATAATCTACAGATTTTATCGTTTTGTTTAAAGGTATCAAATAATTTTCAATATTAATAGTGATTACACTTATTAGTAACAGAGGGTTTACGTTTTGAAACTGCTCGACCACGGTGTTAATTAGCATAGCTTCTGGTTAATATGGGGAAATGTTATAAGCTTAAAAACGACCAAGATTACAAAGTCCAAATTTTAAAAGATTTGACGTGAAATGTTCATCGGACATTGCCGTCAGAGAGGGATCGTTCGACCAGCTAACCAAGATACGCTGGAAAGATATGCGAGGCGTATTTTAGCGGCGATCGTAGCATTATTCACGGAGGGCAGGCGTGCAGTTAAAGCAGCCATTGCTCGTCGAGAGCGCATTCGTCCGCGAAACGTGCGGGAAAAAATATTCCGCGTGTCTTCCAACAAATATGCGGCTGCACACCCACGCGCGGCCAGAACTTTCGTTAGAGCAAAAACTGGTAACGACCGAGCGTTGATATACGCTCGCGCCGGGTCGAATTTATTTATCAGCTGGTCGTGCAGGCGTTACGATATTTCAAAAACGTTCTGCCATGGACTACCGATACGCACCGCTTCCGCTCCACCAAGTATTCCCGCCTACACCCCGATAACGATCGCCCCCTCTGTATCGCGTATTATTAATTAATGAGCATGGCCGCCTGCTTCGGATACCCTGCTCCAAGCGTAATCAACGAATCGACGCAACGAATTATGTGCGAATGTTTTAGTTCGACAGCTGCAATTTGTTAGATTATTTTGCGAAGATTAGTTTCGGAATACTTTTTATCTTATATCATTTGTGTGTTAATTCGTGTACTTCGTTTAGATTTAAAAATGATGTACATACTCCTTACTGGTTAAAAAAGAGTTAAAAATCAATTGAATGGGTATAGAAATATTCAATTAACCAAGGCGAAGTTACAAATTATAAAACAGCACAATTAACATCGACCATCCAATAATTTACCAATCGAATTTTCAGAGACAGTAATTCGACATGTTTGATAACGTTCATTACCGGTCCGCGCAATTTTAAGCTTCGATATAATTAACGCCGCGTATCGATACGTCGCTAATTACTCGAAGTTGCTCTCCGTGGTCGTGAACGGAACCGTTTTCAAAATAAATTTATTAGAAAACCCCTTGTTGGACAGTGCGAAAATACAACATCTCCAACCGTTCGTTACTGTCACGTTTCAAAAGCATAAAGAAAAACAAAATGATTGATTGTAATTGACACTACGCGATTACCGATCAGTTTGTTAAAACAAACCGAGAACGTGAAAAGCATATAATTCAATGACTTTTTATTCACAACTAACAAACGGTAGACCGCCGTAAACTTTCTATTATCATCCCTGTCCAAGCACATCACATGCGTTTATTAACACGATCACTGGTACACAAATTCAATGAAATAAAAGAATCGTTCTTTTACATCGAATACTTCATTCCGAAATATAACACATCTAGAATGATTTGTCACAAAATTTCATGCTTAAACTTCCTTAAAAATGATTAAATAAATTTTTCATTATTATGTTTAGTACAGAACGACTGATTGTTTATTAAAACGTACAGCAAATTCACTCGAAATCTAGTAGAGTTTCCTAACAAATGTTAATCAGAATATTTCGCAGTGAAGGCTATTGGTAATTTAATACAGAATTTACAGAAAGTACAGCTAATTAACGCGTAATACAGCTTCAGTTTCAATAATTCTGACCAACAGCTATAAACCTTCAAAATGAACCGTGCAGTTCGAAATCTGTTTCAAACAATTCGTAGATACAATTCTAAAATAACCCGCTTAAAACGTTGGTAAATGATGAAAAATAAATTAGCATAAATAGCCAATAAGTAAAAAGATATAATTAACGAAGGTTCCTATTTAACGTGGAACGATGAACGAACGTTTCGAGAATGATTTGCAATTAATGCTCCTGAAACGGTGCTAATACTGGCCGTGCTCGTTATTATTGCTATTATCATCGTAATTACTATTATTGCCGATGCTAATTAAATTTAAGCAATCTGAAGCTCGCGTAAACGAGAGCAACAACGGTGAAAGAGTACCAGTAATTTTGTACGTTGTCCAAATCACTACCGCGTTTAATGATTTGTAACTTTGTTGTTGGATTCTTCAAATCTGATTCACAACTCAAAGTGCATTCATTTTTTCTTTTGCGTAAATTATACGTAAATTAATAAGGTTTTCTTGACACAGAATAACATAGGAAATAAGTATGCTCATCGAAGAGAGACACACGGAGCACGTGCTAAGTTGATTCGTCTCATTCCTTTGCAATTCCAAGAAGCCGTATCAACTGGTCCCGCTTGGTTGTCGCATCGTCGACAACGACCACGACGACGACGACGGCACCTTCTTCTATTTTCGATCGACGAGTTGCATAACCAGACTCGACGAGGAGAAATAGAAACGGGGTGGGAATAGAGCAGTCGAAATGTACGTTTCGCTACGAGTACCTAGATTTTAGACTTTAGAGCAGATCAAATTTTAAATTCGAAACTTTCACATTTCTTTGGCACTGAATTATTTATTATCTGCAATTTTCAATCGAAGTAAGTTACGTGAGAATAAATAATTTTTTCTCTCGTTTATAGTAATTATAATATTGCGATTTCAGTTGTAGCCCACAACTAAATTTCTTTGAAATTAATCGAATTCTACCATAGAAGAATTGAAAAATTATCATAAATATATCGATAAATTATTGACACGAAATAGTGCTTGTTAGAAAGAAAAAAATATGAAGATAGTGAATTTAGTTGGCAATCTAATACTAATAATTCTATAGACAAGGTATTGTACTTTGTAGAAGAGAATTTCGATCGCTTAACGAGCAGTTCGAAGGGTGCGTTGTAATTCACGCCTGTTTTGCATAATGCAACCGCGGCAATAAGGCAGAAGCCTTGGTGTTGATCAAAAGGCCTCCTTCACCGGCAGCATGGCCCGTGGCGTACACGTTATCGTCTACAGAAATAACATAGGCGATGCTATTACAACCTTCGGATAGGACGCGAAGAGAGGGTGGAAACACAACGTACGTTAAGGGGGCGAGCCGTAATCGAATTTCATGCGATACTTCTGAGCGACGCGAGGCGACGCGACGCGGGGCGACGCTCTTTTTACTCGCGACAACGTGCCAAGGCTCGAAACCGATGGCTCGAATAACCAATTCCTTCGACGACAGCCACGCTGATCGTCCGAAGGACGCGAAGATTTATCG